ATGTCGAGGGGCTAGGAATGCAGAGATGAAAATGAGAACACCCCTGCCCTCAAGAAGCTAACATGCTAATGGCGGTGGGCAACATGTCCCTCTGTAAGTACATTTCAAAAATTGCAGTGGGAGGAAGGGAAGTTTAGTTAGGGACTGTAAGAGGCAGAGATAGGGAGTACATGCATTCCAGCCTGTGGGACGGCTGGGGCCAAGGCACAGGAGATGATGTGTTTTGTGTGTGTGAGAACAGCAAGGAGCCTGGTGGGGCCTGGCAGAAGCCTTACAGCATAGGAAGAGGGAAAATGCACAGGCAGGACAAGGCTGCCCTGGCTGGGGAGGGCTGTCTGTTTTATCCTAGAGGCAAAAGGAAGTCACTGGAGTTTATTGAAGGGGAGAATGACTAGGTCTGAGCTACAGTTTAGGTAAATCACTTTAGTGGCTGGTTTTATGTGTCCTCCCTGAGATCTACAGAGATACCAAGCGCTGAATTTCCACTTTCTTTTTAAAATGACATATGAGTATACTTAGGAGAGAAAAATTGCAGCCAATTGTAGTTTAGTCTGAGACCAGCCAGGAAATAACATCAAATCAGGTGATCAAAGAGGAAATTCAGGAAAACTATTTCTTAACCACTGTAACAAAGAAGAGACAGACATGATCTTATCCTACAAAGAAGTCTAACCAATTAAGATTTGACAGTAAATCCTTCTTAAAATCCTACTCTGATGAGCTGTATTTCTCAGGAAACCCTTTCCTCTACAAAAAGCCATATAAACGCTGCCCTTTTTGACCTTCTACATTTCCCTGTATAATTAGGTTGCAGTCACATGCAAACTTAACACTAAAAAAGATTTAACCCAACGTGCCTTATGCCAAGACATAACTTCCCTTTACAATTATGGGGGGGAAATGGTTTGTTGGAAGAAGAGAGAAAGGGAAAGCTGCCCTTTAAAAAATAAAAAGATAAATTTAAAAGTACTGATTAACAGAGAGTAATGGATGGCCTACTAGTTTCGAGTAATTTCACTTCATTTTTCAAACCAATTGTCTCAGATATACTTAAAGAATTCGTGTACATGCTGAATGTTTAAAGCAAAGCAGCTTAGAAAACAAACACTGAAACTTTACAGGGACCTAAATTATTTTTAAATGAGGCTTCATACCTCCAGGGAGAGAGTAAGTCATAAAATAAATGGAATCAGCATTCTTTACTCGTTTCCTAAGGGCAAACAGCTATTTATAAGACTGCAGTACATAATTTACCCATATAAGTCTTAATTATGAATGTATGATCTAGGCTCAATCTAAGACCAATTTATAGCCAACTTTTTCTGGACTTCATGTTGACCAAACAATTTGATCTAGTGATGGGTGGGCCCTGTTTAGACCTTCCTCCCAATTATTTCACTCCCCCACACGCTAGTGATGTTTTCGGCGTTTTTCACTGAGCAACACATTTGTAACTTTGCCTAGGGAAGCACGGGTCCAGGCCACCTGGACTCTGCCTTATGAGGAGCAACCTGGCAGCGTAGGGAAAAGAGCTGGGGATCCCAGCTCTATCACTTACTTAATGTGTAAATTTTGGCAAGTCACTTAAACTCTCTGAAAACAGGACCGATGATTCTTGAGCTACCTGCCTCACTGTGTTATTGAGGGTCAGAGGAGTTGATATCTATAAAATATTTTGTTGTTAGAAAAGGCCATATCAAGAGAGGACATATTTTTATGACATCTCCTAGAGAGAAATCTGCTGTTACTCACCCCAGCTTAGTTAAGTAATCATTTCAATTCAACAAGCGTTTTTAAAGGGCCTAGCAGGCCTCCACTGCCAGGGTCCCCGGCTCTGGTGGGTGATCCCTTGTGTTATCCCTGCCAAGAGCAGACCACCATACCACTTCCTCCAATGACTCCGCATCCTCACCCTTCTGTGTGCTGCCTTCTCTGGTTAGAATCGACATTTCTTGAGGGCAGGGACTGTCCAGTTTGCTTTTACGTGCATCCTCCGTGCTTAGCATCGTGGTTTTACACACAGCCACCTGGCTTTGATTAATCAAAGTGCTCTCTCTCTCTCTCTCTCTCTCTCTCTCTCTCTCTCTCTCTCTCACACACACACACACACACACACACACACACACACACACATACACATGACTGAGATACCTGGTTGCTACCAGCAAACCTATATCTCTGTCCCATGTAGGCAATGAAGGACATCTGCCCCTTGGGCTGTTCGGTCCATCTAAATTCTTTATGCCGCTATGATACTTGACTATCGAAAAGCCCTGTCTCAAAGCACCATGTCTCAGCTTCTGGACCAAGAGCCTTTGGCTGTCTCTGTGCATCCTCTAGACCAGGGGAATCTTACATTTGTTTTTGTTTCTGTTTTTTATGTCTACAGACCACTTTAAATGGGGGGGGGGGCTGATTATGTCTCCTACCTGCACCCATCTGTCACTAAAAAGTGCTGTATGGGGGGTGGAGGAGAGACAACTCATTAGAATTACTAGTAAGCACAGAATTGCTCCGAGATGCTAATGACATGTCTCCTCTCTTTTACATATCACAGATTACTAACTCAGTCAGCCAGTCAATAAACATTGGTTATGCACCTATTCTACACCAAGCATTACACTAAGCGCTGGAGGCACAACGAAAGGCAAGGAGCTGCCCCCAAGGAGCTCCCAGTCTAATTCATGCCAGAAACAAGCACTATTGTGATGTCACAGAATTTGAGCACTGCCTCTAACACTCACTGTGTGTCTCTGGGCAAATCTCCTACCCTAAGTCCCTGTTTCCTCATCTTTCAAATGCCTGCCCAGGCCATCTCTGGTTGTCCTGATCTATGTCTCACCACTGGACCCAGATGGCTCTGGAGGACAAAGTGAGGCTGGTGACCTCGCACAGCCCTCCCTCACTTAAATCCAACTCACTTGCAAGTCCTGGCATCACCCCCCTGATGTCATGGTCCTCTTGGAGAACCAAGGACAAACGAGAAAAACAAATGCCTGCACCGCCTCCTCGAAAGGGCTGCTGAAGGAAAGTGATTAATATCAACTAGAATTCTCTTGATCAGTGTAAGCTAACAACATATACCTGTGCAACGCTTAGCCTTCCTGCCACACGAGCTCAGACCACGTGGCCACCTTCAGCACCCCTGTCATCCTGAGATTCTGCACCCTGGGAATCATCTTTCTAGTCTAGGTGGTCTTTAAGATGACTTCCTGCCTCAAAGAAATGGAAACGGAGGAGATGCCCATCCACTGGGGAATGGCTGAGCAAGTTGTGGCATGTGAATGTAATGGAATAGTATTATGCTATAAGAAACCATGAGCAGGTAGACTTCAGAAAAACCTGGAAAGACTTGTATGGACTGATGCTGAGTGAAGTGAGCAGAACCAGGAGAACGTTGTACACGGTAACAGCCACATTGTACGACTACTAACTTTGTTAGCTCTTCTCAGCTATACAGAGATCTAAGACAACTCTAAAAAACTCATGGTGGAAAATGCTATCCACATCCAGAGAAAGAACTATGGAGTCTGAAGGCAGATCGAAGCATACTATTGCTCTCCTTTTTTTTGTTGTTTTGTTTTATTGCTTCATTCTTGTGGTTCCTCCTATCAGTTCTAATTCTTTTTTACACCATGACTAATGGGAAAATATGCTTAATATGAATGTATAAGCAGAGTCTTTATCAATTGCATGCCATCTTGGGGAGGGGGAGTCGGGGGAGAGGGAGAAAATTTAAAACTCAAAATCTTATGGAAGTGAATGTTAAAAATGAAAAATAAATCAATTAATTATTTAAAAATAAAAAACAAAAAGATGCCTGCCTGCCTGAGAGATACTCTTTAACAGAGGTCCAGCTGGGCAGCCACCTTGTCATCAAGACCATCTTCCGATGGAACCCCTTCAGGAACACGTGAACCAAGCTTTTTTGTACCACCACTTCCTAAGTCCCGTTTGGGCTAACGGACCTGTTTCATACTACATTCCTCCCAGCTGACAACAGTCTTAATGACTGTCTACATGATCACTGCAGGGAATAAACATTTATTAAGTACCTATTATGTGCCAGGGAACTGTGCAAAGAGCTGTACAAGTACTATCTCATCTGATCCTCACAACAGCCCTGTGAGGCAGGTGCTATTACTATCTCCATTTGACAGCACAGGAAACTGAGGCCGAGGTTCAGTGCATGCATCTAGCAGGTGTCTGAGGCTGGGTTTATGCTCAGAGCTTTTTGACTCCAGGCTTGGCATTCTATTCATTGAGTCATTTAGCAGTCACTGTTCAGAAGGCAATGTCTACACTTCTGTTGCTGTGAGAACATTCAATATTTTATGAGGCACTACCTTATAAGTGTCTGATCAAAGCTGACACCAATCAATCAGGGCCAGTTTTGCATTAGCAAAGACTTAGGAGCCTCACTGATCTAAGCAGGGGTTTGTTTTTTTTAAATTTTTTTTTTTTGCCCTGTGAGGATTAAATGGATCTAAAAAACAAATCATCATCCAGGAGGAAGTAGAGCATTTGAGGTCGTGTTATCAGAGGTTTCTGAGTTAAAGAGCAAGAAAGGGGAACGCTGCTTGTTTTTTGGGTATAATCAGCAAGGGAGCACAACAAAGCTTGTTACACAGACCTGGGGCCGTGGAAGGAAGGGTGGGCCAGGCTGGAAGCCTGGAAAGAAGGTGACTCACACAGCGAGCCATCTGTTAGGTGGCAGCTGTCAGTCAGCCACCTTCTTGGTACCTGAATAGGGCTAACAAAGATGAGACCACGGACTAGACACTAGAGCTTCGGGGTTAACAGAGTTGGGCCGCCAGCAACAACATTTAGCTAACATACCTCCCTCTTGTGGCCATTGAAAGTGAGCTTTCCTAATACAGAATTTCTCTTCCAAAATGCTGTGAGATGATGAGACCCACCTATCACTGGCCTTCAGAAAACGGAATCGCATTTATTTCTTTTAAATCAGGGTTTTCACGTACATTCCAGAGCAAACTTACCGTTGTATTTGAGGATTCGGAAGAAAGAATATCCACAACAAGAGGGTCAGAAGTCTGTAAATTTACCACTTCAAGCTTGGGATTAATCTGCACATAAAAAAGCGTAATATCAGTGTTGTCTGGAAGAAGATATTACATTTAAAATGTATGACATTCATGTTTTCACCTCATGAAAAAATTGCAATTTGTCAGAAGTTTTCAGGTTTGGGTATTTGAGTGTGCATTTATTTCTCCAAAAAAAAATCAACACGGCACTTTGAATTGTGCACTGCTGATTTTCTAAGGGGCGAGGGCACATGCGTTAGGCTTGGGGCCTAATTTATTGCTTCATTCTTGTGGTTCCTCCTATCAGTTCTAATTCTTCTCTATTCCACCTCCTGGCTTTAACGTTTATGACCTTGTGACCTTGGACCCGTCACCTCTCTGGGCACGGTGCCTCACCTGTAGAATGAGGGGCCTCCAAGGCCCCTTCTAGCCGGATACCTGGGATCCTAAGACAACTTTCTAGGGCAGAGGGTTGGGGGGAGGGGGACCAGAGGCAGAGCCTAGCTAGCATTTTCCACTTTTTCCTGTCTGTGGCCATCTCCTTTCCTGTTCTTTCATCGTCATCATGAAGACCCTGTTTTTTGTGCTTACCTGAAGCTGAGGAGCTGAACTGGAAGCACTGTGAGGAGAGTCAATGTGGGTAGGTCGAAGGAGAGGAGTTAAAGGGGACTCAGTAGCCCTGTCACCTGGCTACGCAGTATAAAAATGATTCAGGGGAAAGGACTAGCCTCCAGATGAATGGCATTTTCATCCTGGTGCTGCATGGGCACAGCAGTACCTGCTCATTTTTAGGACAAGTTACCAGCATCATCGGCCTTTAATAAGAACGCTATTAAATGACGAAAGGCAAAGTAGAAGACACACTGGATTTAGAGGTCGCAGGCTCACATGGATTGGAATGGACCTTAGAGGTGATCAATTCCAATCCTCCCTTCTCCATCACAGGACTGGACCAGTCATGTAGTGAACCAGGGATGAAATGATGGACAGCCTTCACGCTCCGCTGGTGTTCACAAAACGTCAAGAGATGCAGAAGGCCCCCAGCACATTGCGTGGCCCCTTAGGGAAGAATTTATGGCAGGGAGGATATGGGCCAGTCACCCAATGTAAGATGGGCTCGAGTCGTCACACACTAATGAGTTCACAGATCCATCAAAATATCTGCCATGTACTTATTACCATCTTAATAAATGCATGGTGAATTAAAAATAGATTCATTTTAAAGACGCTTTAGTTGCTAGGTAACTGTAACCATGATTCTATAAATCCGGCCCCACGTGAAGAGGAGCTGGTGCATTTCCCCTCTCTCTCCCTGGTACTCTTGCCCCATTGACATTGTTATCGTCATTCATCGTAACCTGGTCCTGACCAGTCCTGACCAGTAGGTGACTGGATCTGAAGATTCAAGGGCAGGAATGAGGGGGACAACTACAGCCTCGCTACGATTCTGCCGTCGAGGAAATATGTGCCTTCATGATTCCACAGAGGTGAATGCAAACCCGGGCTCCTTCCTGCCAAGGAGCTTTGAATAAGTGCCAAGTTCATTCCAGAGAAAGGAGCTGAGATGCAAGGAGGCCAGTCTTCTCCAAGTTCGGCGACCAGAGAAGACACTTCATTCTCTTTTATCTGCTGCCATCTAGTGTATGCTAGGCATTGTTTCCCCATGGAAACAATGAGATTACATAAGGACAGCTGGTCACCTGAACTCACAAATATCTAACATCTAAGAGGCCGCTTTGAAAAACATCTGTGTTCTACACACAGCTAATTACCTGATGTTTCGCAGAGCTGTCTACATAAGAGCTATCAATGCACATGCCAACGCGATGTTCAATCTCTGGATTGGGGGGAAAAACCCCCCAATTAATTTCATCCTCCTTTTCAAAGAGAGCAAATAGAAGCAACATTTCTAGCTAATCTCTAGGAAAGCTAATAATTCACATCGTTCATTCTTGTATAAGAACAAAAGTAGTAACCATGAAGAAATTCCGTTAGTACCACGTAGGATTTTATGATCACTGGGGAATTGAACCAGATACCAGAGCTGGACCCTAAGATAAAAGGAAAAATTATCTTTATGATCAATGTCCAAAGTCCTGGGGTGGGGAACCTGTGGCCTCAAGGCCCCATGTGGTCCTCTAGGTCCTCAAGTGTGGCCCTTCGACTGAATCCAAACTTCACAGAACAAATCCCCTTCATAAAAGGATTTGTTCTGTAAAACTTGGATGCAGTCGACAGGCCACACCCAAGGACCTAGAAGGCCACAGGTTCCCTACCCCTGGTCCAAACAGCTGAACACCCAAATTCCTTACTGTAGAAAAGAAACTGATCCCATGTGAGGATCAGCTAAAAGCCCTTTCTAAGACACCCATAAAGCAGCATCACCCAGCTATGGTGTTTCCCTCTTTGCCTTGTTAATTTCCTGGGAGAACAATACAGACTTAATAGCTCTAGTGTGGCAATTGCAAATCCCCAAAGCACTGAACAAACCATTTTATGAATGCATCCTTCTTAGTGTCTTAATGATTTTGAATCTTCTTCTAAAGTCATCTAGGATTCTGGTTTCTGCAAGACGTGCTCTCCTCTAGAACATACCCAATTCAACATAGAGCTTATCCTCTAGCCTGATAGAGTGGGAAGAGCTCTGCTTCTGAGTTAGAGAACCAGGGTCCACATTCTACCACTGAGTACCTGGGTGATCCTGGGAAGGTCCTGTCCCCTCCTGTGTCTCAGTTTCTCTATTTATAAAACGAGAGGGTTGGAATGCATGGCCTCTGAGGTCCCTTCCCAAGAGCCTCGCTCCTACGGCTGTCCTTTCCTTATGAACATCTATGGAGGAGGGAAGGCTAATCACGTGAAGATTCTGGGAGCCATTCAGTTCTCCCATCTCACACAAGGATGCCTGAATTCTAGTGCCAGTGTCCAGCATCAGGGAGGGCCCAGTGAAGTCAGTTTGCTGAAACTCACAAGATCTTTAGAATCTACTCCTTTTCCTCTAGGACTTCTCACCACCCAATGAAAGTTGTTTTCATTTCATTTCAGGAAGCAAAGTGGTCTAGGCCAAGAGTTGTCCAATCCAGTAAGATAGACCCTGAAACCTGCCAATTTTAATTTCTGTAAGTCTGTAAGTCTGAGTTACGCTCACAGCAAGGAAATGTTGCCCACCACTAGTGCCTGAACCTGAGCTTTTACACTTAATACATCCACTCAGGCTGCCTCCTTTCTGCTGTTTACAAAGCAGTCTGGCTGCTGCTACCTCTGCCCCTTTAGAAATGAGGCATTTCATTCTCCAATCAGGTGGTGACCAGATTTAGCTGGGACTCCTCATCCTTGAACCAAAGAAACATCAGTGCTTAGCAAACTGGGGTGGGGGGGGAGAGGATTTTAAAAGGGGCCAAATGATTTCCAACTGAAAGATTAAGATCATTATGTAAATTCCAAATGAGCCTCAAAGGAAACACATAGTAAAATCTCAACCATCCTGCCGGAAAAATAAGCTGCTGAATGTGTTAAGAGATTCCCAGGTTACTGCCAGAAAGCTCATCAGATAAGTCAATAATATACAATTGCCTTTTCCCTGCATTCCTCATTCTTTATATTCGTTCAATTCCATCACTAAGGTCTGATTTGGAAAACACACTAAGTCTCCCATTTCTCAACAGTAATAAACATAACCCGATACTCTGTCCAAGTCCCCAGAATTTACTTCCTACCAGAACATGTTGCAAGAGTTTGCGGTAGAATTGTTTGACCTGACGACCTGGCAGAAAGCGTGGGTCTGAAGTCATTCCATGCTCCCCCCTCTCTCCCTCCACCCCACTGCAAGGGAAAAAAAAATAAAAACTACCAAAAATTAGATTCAAACTAACCTTAAATGAACTTGCTAACATTCTCTAGTTTCAGTCACACCAGGCCCTTTCAGTGCTTTCCCTTTTACCAGGCTAGGTGGTACAGTGTAGGGCTGGAGTCAGGAAGATCTGAGTTCAAATCCCACTCCAGACACTTAGCAGCTGTGCGATTCTGAGCAAACCACTAAACCTCGATCTCAGTTTCCACATCTGTAAAATGGGGATAATAACATACCTTCCAGGGATGTTGTGAGGATCAAATAAGATAATATATGTAAAATTAAAGATGTGAATGCTATTAATATTATTATGGGTTATCATCATCATCATCATCCTCATCACCTTGCCTTCAGGGTTTGTTGGGGCATCATTTCAATCCATTTGAAAATAAAATCAATCTGTATTCAAAAGAGCACTTTGGTACTTCACTCATTTACTTAGATGCTCATCATGCAGAAAAGGGGGTGCTCTTTCCCCCCCAACTTTACACCTTCGTTTTATTTTAAGAAGAGCTTAAGAAAGAAACTGACAGATGGAGGCTCAGATGCCTTTTGCTTTAGCAGCTTTTCACACGCCAGTGATGCCAAGCGCTCGTCCTTTAAGCTACATTGCCAAATCCACTGACGCTGGCTCGGGCAGATTTTTACAGAGAGGTAAACTGAGGTATCGAGCAGCCAGTTTTCTCAGGACACTAGCAGGAGTTTCTAGTCAATTCAAGGCATGACACTCCTAGTCCAGAGTTGTTACAGGAGCCCTTTAAGTGTGTGAGGGATAAAGAAGGTGGAGAGCCTGGACCACCCCACCCCTGGGAGCTGGAGGCTTCTGATACTTCTGTCTCTCAGTCGGGCTGCATCACCCTGGCCCATGATCCAACATGCTTCAGCTGGGGACCTTTCTTCGTTTTTACCTGAATCAGCAGGATCACAATTTACCACTAGTCTTGGTAAAGCTAGGTAATGAAGTCTGGCTGGTTGTGAGGAAGGAGGGGGTTACAAGTCTAGGTGATAATAGATATCACCAAAAAAGGAGGTGAATAGGATAAAAATGTAAAAGTCTGAAATTCTGATGGAATGGTAAACTTGGAGAAAGTAACAAGATTAGATTGTTTTCTCTAAGCACTAGGACACACACACACACACACACACACACACACACACACACACACTTTCTCTAAGAACTAGAGTATACATCTCT